GTACAACAGCCGCAAAAAATTCTCCAGACGTCGTATTGTATCGCATTGTCATCTAAATGGATGAAAGATAGCAAAAAACATCATGTAGAGAAGATTGATGGAAACATCTCACAATTTGATTCATCTGACCGAAAAAGTTGAGATTCCATCACAGTGGATCGTTTGATTACCATCAGTTTCACGACTGGATGGAGAGATAATTTATCAAACGTGATGAAATGTTGGTTTTTGTTGATGAAGGTTTGTATGTCGATAACTTTCAATAGATAAATGATTCATGTATTCAGGGGATGAAAAGGTTTTGGTAGAGATGGATATTAAAACATAATTTCCGCACCTTTCAAGATTTGGAAAGAAGAGTGATAAAGACCATTCGATCTGATAGATAACTACTGAACTGCTAGTGATTTTTTTGTTACAGTAGAATGTTATATGGTACAGAATTCGAGTGAATGATCTCTTCACTATGACTGCTCAATAATCATGAAAGAAGACACTTATGAATTTCATCCGTGTTTTTGGAAAACTGACGGGTCATTCATTTGGCGCTACGTATATTTGAATTTGAATGTTTATGTTAAATTATCAAAATTTTTCATTTGTTCGAAATACCAGTTGATGCCACTATGTTTGGAACACAACATCGTTCAAATTTTCGCCACGGTTTTTCTGGGAGGAGCTTAAACGAAACGTCCAAGTCTCCATGACTCTGCGCATAAATCAGGCTGAATTTGACCGGTGACATGGGTTATGTTGGTCTGTGGCTTATTCGCATACTCCTACAACATGAGAAAGTCTCACAAGAAAAAGTCTAACGGGGTGAAATCGTATGATCTCGGTGGCCAGTTCACACCACCTCACATAATCATGGTCTCAAATCGCTCGTGGAGAATATCCAATGTGGCATGAGCTGTGTGGCATGTAGAGTCGTCCTGTCGAAACCACATTTCCCTTGGTGTCCAAATAATTCAATTAAGGCCAAAAGAAGAGGGTAATCATCGACTCATAATGCTCGCCGTTGACAGTGATGTTCTAGCCAACGTCGTTCTTAAAGGAATATGGCCGGTGACGCCGCCAGTTCGAAATCCACACCAAATAGTGCCTTTTTCGGGATGCATTGGCGCTCTTGGGTTTTATGTGTATTTGTGTCCTCCTAAATTTCTGCTTCGATAAGTTTGTTGGGGGTTAAAATGTACGCCAACATGTCTTGGTACAAATTTATATATACAGAATTCTTCAAAATAAGTTGGAAGCAAGTTATGTGTTAGTTTAAAAATGAATATCATTGGTAAGTCATACAGTCTCTGGGAAACAGTCAGCCACTGCAATGTACTTAACATGTTTATTATACTAGAATACCTATTCACTTGTAAAATAATCCTCATTCCACGATTCTGTAACTTTTGTAAAGCCGATACCTTATTTTGGCCAAATGAGTATAAAAGACTAGCACAATAATCAAAATGGTATTGTAATTTTTGAGTACATTGAAAGCTGAGATGAAATTATTGGGAAAAAATATATTTTTTTAGCGATTTTTCTGAATATATAATCAAAATGAGCATTACGAGATAAACGATTATCCACCATGAAACCTAAGTATTTGAATTCACTTACGAACCCTATTACATCTTCTGCAATTTGTAATCTTATGTGGTGTTTGTTGATGAGTGATAGCTTATAACCAGTTGATAAGATCATATATTTTGTTTTGGAGGTGTTGAGTTTTAGTTTATTGCGATTCATGTACTTGGAAACATTTTTTAGTTCATTATTCATTTGATCAACTAGTGTTTCTATATTATCTCCTGAAATTGTTAACAAAGTGTCGTCTGCAAAAAGGTTGATGAAATCACAAACATGAATGGTATCTGTATCATTCAGGTAGATTAAAAATAATATAGCTCCCAAAATACTTTCCTGAGGTACCCCGAAAACGACATCGCGAGATGATGACACTGAATCTTTTTTGGTTACCTATTTGCGTTGTGATAAATAATCAGTCAGCCATAAAAAACAGTTTCCCTGATACCAATAACTTGCAGTTTATTTAGTAATATGTGGCGATCAATTGTCTCAAAAGCTCTTTTAAGATCTAAAAATGCGGCTATAATATATCCCTTATCGAACTACAAAAGATCGGACCGAACAGAAATTTTGAAACAAGAAGAGGAGCACATATTGAATATGTGCACGGACAACATGACACCGAAGTACACCTGTAACACAAACTTCAAGGCCAAAATCATAAGCCGCGAAGAGTGGAAGACCATTAGTCATCTCGAAAACATGTTTGGAAAAAACACCTGATATACAGATGGATCGAAGACCAAACATGGAACGGGAGCTGGAATATACCGAGCGGAAAGAAATTTGAACTACAGTTATCCGCTAGGACTATACACATCCGTCTTTCAGACCTTGCAGTGTGCAAGGCTTAATAAATTGAGACCTCAAAGAAATGAGCGGATCAATATTTTAACAGACAGCAAGAGCGCACTAGGGACTCTGAAAAACCCGAAGGTGACATCAAAAATGGTCTGCAACAATGCATAGCCTGGAACATCGAAAAAAAGTTGGAGATTTGTCTCTCTTCTATAGATACATTCACGTGAGGTTTTCCAGTGACTTGGTACATTTAATTCCACCAAAAGTGGTACATATCAGAAATACGTGGCGGATGGTGGCTGCTCATCATTTTGAGGTTCGACTCAGTACACCTTGAACTTCACTGTTTGGGAACTCTCTCATCTGGAGAACTGCATTCATGTGGAATAAACTTCCTGAGCGTTTTTCCAAATGGATATGATCTCCAGCGATTCGAATCCAATGTGAATCGCTACTGTCGCACATCGGTATGAAAGCGCCTTAAGGATTCTCCTGTAGTGCTTGTGTTTTGTCCTTTAAAAAAATTGATAATTTCATTTGTTTCCGTACGTATTCATTCAGAAATGGGCCTCATCGCTTGAAAGTGATTCAAAATTCTTTAATGCAAATTATGATGGAGGAAGATCGGAGGTATTACAATCAGTCATTGTATCATGAAACTGGATTATTCGAAGTTTTTTAGAGTTTATTATGGACTGCTAATTCTGCAATCAAGTTCGTACGGTACGCTTTCAATACTCGTAACAGTTCAGTTAAGACCATAAATATTACACGGTGCAGACTCACGCATAATCAAAAATTTATAACGCATCTTGGGACTGAACTTCACCAAAATCTACCTGAATCATTGAGATATATGAGAAATGAACTCAAATTCAACAGAGAGTTGAAAAATATTTGTTGTTATATGCTTCTACGGATACTCGAATACGGGATAACCATTATAAGAGGTGTTTCCCAGAGGCAGAGTGCACCACAAACAGATCTCTCTCTCTCTCTCTCTCTGTCTCGTCCTATCTCTTCTTCTTTCTCTCTCTTCCTTTAACCACCCTGCAAAATTAGTGAGTCTGGTTATACAGGATAAGAATTCCTACTTTGTTTGCTGGCTACAATACAAGCTTGCTTAGGTACCCGTAACTTTCATTAGTTTTCCTAGGAATTAAAATATAAGTTCCCTTTCTTGTTTTCCAAAACTAAACGTTCCTTATCCTGCCTACTATTTCTCCATCGATGTTTTCTACAACCACGAGTTGATATCGATAACATTAATCTTGTTCGTGACTCGAGACACTCAATTTTTTTCTTAAAGCACTGCAGTTTTTGGTCATTTCGCACTTTCCTGTTTCTCCAAGACCTGTTATAAAACAATCATGTGAGATTGAATCACGTACATACTCCATTAGTTTCTTTGCACAAATGGAAGGCCTATGAGTTTCTGCAGAACGTTCACCTTTTCCCAAGGCAATTGAAATGTCTACGGCTATTTTCCTGCGGACTCTGCTCTCAGAGATGGGATGGAGTGGAGACCACACAAGAGATTTATTTGGCTTTTGGCCACCGGTTGCGAAATGTTCTCGCTGAGAAATATTTTGAAGGAATAAAATGCATAAAGGTGAATGGAGTTTTTTTTCACTTATAGAAGGAATTCTGAGAAAGATGGTTATATGGATGATATGAGAAATTTCCCAAGAAAGGAAGAAATCAAATAAGTTCGATATAAACTTTTCACAAAGATCTGTGAATTAAGTGCTGACGAGTAGTTGACGAGTCTTTTTGACCTGAAACTGAGAGAATTACACTTTTGATATGTTCGATTTGCATGTAGTCGAATTTCATATCCATGCTCTTTCATGCATTACGTTGTGTAGCATTCATTTTGATTCCATAACAAATGTTGGGAGTACTAACTGAATGGTAATCACTGATATCCATGATTTTCAGTATTCATATGAATGCAAATTGTTTCTTGAGGATTTTTTTTCGTATAATTCAATATTCATGCAAGAATTATTTTTTTCAAATGGGCTTCTTATTTCTTCCAGATTTTATCTGATTAAAACTATAATGCACGATCTATAAATGTTTGTGAAATTTTATTTTGAAGTCTCTTTCTTTTTTCGGAAATTTTCCTGATTTTTTGGATAAAAATAGAAAAGTGGAAAGACGAAACGGAGTTTTCTCTAAAGCCTCAGAATATATATCATTACGAAACATTCTGAAAATTTAAATTGTTCAATGATCTCCTGTCAATTCACCATTTGAATCACAACGTTATCTTTAATATTGAAAAATTTAAAGATGCGGCATATAATGAATTTTCATCACTTGCATATATTTTCATTCAGGGTAATATTTTGATAATTATTCATAGCGAGTGTGTGAAGTAGAGAAATGTGGTAATATGTAAATCAACAGTATTTCCAATCCATCTTGTCCTGCAAGATTCAGTATCATCATTTTACTTCGTTAGCTAAATCTATAATGATGATAGATGTTATTTTTCGAAATGAATTCCAAATTTATTTTATTTATTGAAGAATTTGATTCAAGTGTAACGTTATATGTGATACGAGTATGTGTGTAAATGATCTTTATTGCTTATCGTGTATTACCTGTCTAAGGAAACCGCTACTAAACTGTACACAGAAGCTGCTACTGACACACCCTGTATGTAAGGAACAGTCTTGCACATCCACCATCCCAGGATCCATGCTGCAAAAAAGATGAAAATATAATCAGTATGATCTCCTGAATTTGAATCTAAATTTTGGAAGATTTAACCTTATGTTACTATCAGTATTGTTTTCAATATTCATGTTAGCATGTTTTTTGGCCTCATATAATAGTAATTGAGTAGACATGTCTAGAGGACGCTCTTTTTTTATTCGAATGATGGTAATTTTGTTGGGTATAGAAGTTCTTAAAACACTCATCATTGCGTGTTTCAGACCTTTATTGGTATCGTAATATTTACCAAATAATCATCTTTTTTCTTATATCTACTTTCGAAATGGAACACTGACTTGCTACAAATGTATGGTATGAATTAGATACTCGTCTAGTAGTGGGCGGTGGAGCACCATCCTGTTGAAACTAGATGTTTATAGTTAGCCAAAGGCAGATCATCTAAATAGTCTTCGAAAATCGACATTGAGAGCTGGTGATAGGTTTCTTCATTCAGAATTCCGTCAAATAAATGAGGACTCAAAATTCTATCTTCGTAAATTCCTGCCCACACGTTAATACTAAATCACAGGTCAAATTTCTCGGAACTGCCTGGGGTTGTTTATGCTCCAAATGTGTTCCTAATTTCTGTTGAATATTCCACATTTCGTAAAAGTGCTTTCATCTGTAGAAAATATATTTTCCAGGAAAACAGGAAAATCAGGTCTTCTTATTAGCCAATTACAAAATTCTAATCGCTTCTTGGCATCACCTGAATGCAATTTTTGAGATATGTGTATTTTGTAACATTTTAAACCGCTATTTTTATATGTCTACAAGCACTTGTATGACAAATATTCAATACGAAGGAAATTTGACTTGTAGATTTCCCCGGATTCATATTTATCTGCAAATTATAAATTTTTATTGAAAAAGACACAATGTCTACTTTACCTCGCCTATAAGAAGAAATAAAGTTGATGATGGTGGCCAGAAGACGAAACGTCGAATAGCAAATCTGAAAATATCATTATGTAGCAGGAAAAAAATGGCATTATAGATGTGCAATTTATTTTCGAATCCTTCGAAAAAAAGGTCAGAAAAAATAAAAACCATTTTCCAAAATTTTTGTTTTTTCCGGATATCTCCGAACATACTCGGAATTTCAGAACTTTCTCAATGGCATATTGTTAGTCAGATGAATGCGCAACTTTGACCTATTTCAACCATCTTCGTATCTCTCATAGTTTCCGAGATCCCAATGGTGAGAATTGAATTTGAAACACCCTGTATACCTATCGGAAAAAGATTGTTGAAGGAAGTGTGTCCAGAGTGTGTTCTGCCCTTGGGAAAACGATGAGTTTGCATCTCGCCGCTGTTTTCCATATCTACCACCAATTCCTTATTTATACATTCAAAAAGACAGAGCGGTTTGTTGAACCTTCTGGAATGGAACAAAGGGCCTCCGATTGAAAACACTTTATGACCACTTAATCTAAAAGAGGATTGACAGAAGAGCCACACAAGGACATTCTTTATATTTAGCTATCTGACCTTAACATCCCGATGGCATTTTTGTGGGATGCGAATTTTTATCGGGTCTGTTCTTTATGATATCCTTATTTTTATGGAGGAGTGGAGATAGTGAAAATATCTTACGAATGGAATGATTTACTTGAAACGAGGCATTTCTAAAAAATATTTGGATATTTGTTATGTGATCTCGAAAAGGAACTGCTGCTACTTAATGAATGAAAAACATTTGGAGAAAATTCGGAAGACTGGTGGTTTATATAGGGAAGCGATTCAAACCAGTGAACAGACTTTTGATGTGCATTGCCTTTCTCAATTGGAGTGAAATTGCTTGAAAGACAAGGGTGATACAGATATCCCACAGTGGCCTATACAAAGTCAATTGAATAAAATCCCAATAAATGAAGTTCTGAAAAGAAAAACTACCTGGTTACCAGAAAAAAAGGTTTCGCGGTGTTAGCACTTGAGAAAAATATTTATTCGATACGAAATTATGGCTCGATGACTCTGCTGACGCCCACCCCAAAAATTGTTTGCTCAATCTGTTTTTCATTTTGTTTTGTTGTTCAATTTAATGTTCATTGAAACATGATTTTATAATTTTGAGTTAATTTCTCTCGAATCCGATTAAATTTTTTCGAAATAATTCTTCATTTCATTGGTGGAATTGAAGGGCGTAACATCAATTCCGTTAGGTGTTATCCAAGTGATTTTGGAGTTATTTTGCGTAAAATAAAATACTTCCAAATGCCTCAATTGTTGGAACTCTCATCTACAGAGTAGAGTAAAAAGAGCATACGTGGCTTATGAGCAATGTCGGAGGACAGTGGGACGCGCATGGGGTCTTTCACCCCGTGTAGTCGCCTGGATCTACACTGCAATAATAAGACCTATGTTAACGTATGGAGCCATTGCATGGGAACCGAAAGTTCTACAAGCAACGGCCATCCAAAAATACCTCGATATTTTAATATCAATGGAAGTTATTTGAAAGCCCTTGAAATTATCTTTAATGTAGCCTCGGAATTTGGAAATTGTGTCTAATAGTTTAATGAAGATTCCATTTGTAACTTGTAACATTCGAACTTATCTATTTACTCACGTAGTCGATTACCTTTTCAAAATAGTGAAATAATCATCTACAAAATGATGAAGATTTTGTTGGGAAAGTTTTCGAATAATCACAATGAGGATCGGGATGATATCATGGCCTGAGATGACTGCGGTCATCCAAAAAAGCCTCATTCTCTCAATCTCCCAATTCGATGTCGTGAAAAATGTTGATATAGTAGAAATTACAGAACAATCGCAATGAAATAAAATTATCTCAAAGAACAATTAATTCAGGCCAGTCTCAAATTAGCTACAGTGTAGGTTGATGGACTGACACCTATCAGAAAATAACTACTTCCCTGGCCAATACCACGAAAGGCGTTAAATTATAAACGACAGGTCGCAGTGCAGGATTCCTCACTGAAGTTATTCCTGCACATGCTGTTGGCGAAAGAACAATTATACAACCCACCAAAAAAAAATTTGTCTTGCTGCCGAAAAAAATTCAGCTAATTTTGCTAAATCCATCTGTGCTGTGCTGATTTCAAAAAATACAAATCTTCTCTTTGTATCAGCTCTAGTTTTCGAGATATAACATACTCATCAAATACTTAAATATTCTTACATTTCTGTATATTCCACCACTATAATTGCATCATGTTTATAAACAAACTTAACAAATTCTAAGACAAACGCATACTAATGACTTCTAATTGAAGTGTACTTATTGGAAAGAAGAATATAAAACATTGTCGCTGGTGTTAAAAAACATCAAGTATGACCAACATCAGTGTGCGATCTGTGTTGATTTTAGGATGGTGAACTGGGACAACAAGGTGGCTATACAAAATATCCTTGTTTCCTGTGTCTTTGGGATAGCAGGGCTGAGGACCAACACTGCAGTAGAAGAAAATGGCGTTCTAGAGATGCTTTAGTTCAAGGAGAAGCTAACGTAGTTAACGAAGCATTGGTTGACCGAGAGAAAATGACATAACCTCCGTTACATATTAAACTAGGGCTGATGAAACAATTTGTAAAGGCCCTAGACCAGAATCGTCCTTGTTATAACTTATAAAAGATTCGCATTTTACAGACTCGATGACTGAAATTGAGTGTAATGCATGGTGCTCTTTTGTGAAAGTTGTGGAAAATTTTCTTTTTTCTTGGAAATAATAAATCGAAAAATTACCGAGATTTAGTGGAAGAAATGCTCAACAATTTCAACAAACACGGTTGTTATATGAGTATTGAAATTCATCACCTCCACAGCCACTTAGACCGTTTTCCAGAAATTTTCAGGTGACGCCAAATAACAGATTTGTGCGATCTGGTTAGGTTACATGAAAAGTTAAGGTTTTTTGGGAGATATGTGTAATGATTTTTGTAAGTATATTGTTGTACAATAACTATCTTACTTTTTATTCGTGTTTCGTTTATTTGATGAGTTGCAGCACTACTTATATGTAGATAGTTCTGCGTTAAATTACCCTATATGTAAGAAATGTGATCTGTTATCGTATTTTCTGAAAATGATCTAATGGAGCAAATCTGGTGGCATTTTTGGGTTCAGCAGATCCAAATAACCTAGCAACAGTAAAACAATTTCCGGCAACAAACTGTGTGTTTACCAGTGTATTGGATCACACTTGTAGACCGGTTTCGGGCTGTTTGGCCACTCATCAATGATTTCCGATATCTGAAAATCGAATTGCTCCATAGTATCATTCCTCGAACTTGGCCGAAACGAACAACAAACAACAAACAACATGTTTGTCATCTCCCCATTTGCCTGTGAACGAGGCTAGTGTAATGGTCAAGCTTGGAAATCATTGTATGTGATTTACTTCAATCTTCCTCTTGAAGATGATCACTTGGTGATTGAAACACATGTCGAGGTGTTGAAAATAACGATTTGAGATAGATCTTCAGTAAAATTCATTACTACACCAAAGGTTCCAAACAGTGCATTACAAGTACATGGTTCGATATATAAAAAATGGTTTGAACACGAGTTGTGAGAATTCATTCAACTACAATATTTATGAGAAACACTAATAGCATATAACTCATACGAAACGGGATATTTGCAATAAAGGTTTGAAACATCGATTCTTTGACCTTGGAAAATCTGTAATTTGGGGTGTCAAAATGAAAGTTTATACAAGTTTATAGCTAACCATCTCTCATTCCGAGGTAAAACTCGTAAAATTCCTGGTGACTTGCGTTGGAAAAATTGGAAGCTCGTCAGTCTAGAATAGTCTTTGTCAAAGTGAGCGATAACGCCCCCTTGTGGGTGCTGGAGGCCTATAGGGGGTCAGTAAAGGGCACAGAGAAGATTGGAGGGCGTTGAAGCGGTTTAAGGGGACGATGTCTAATTTAAAATTTTTTTTTGCTTTTAACATGAAATTTACCGCTCCTTTACGCTTAACGCGCGTTTCTTCGTGTCACGCCATCTAGGGGAC